GTCCAGATGGTTTTAGGGCAGAATTCTACCAGGTATTCAAAGAATTAATGCCAATACTCCAAAATTATTCAACAAGAAACAAGCCAAAAGAGCACTCTCCAGTTCATTCTACAAGGCTGCAATTAGCCTGATACATAAATCATACAAAGACCTAACAAAAAAAGAATTAGAGACCAATTCTGTTTATGAAAATACATGCAGTAATTCTCAATAAAATAATTGTAGTCTGCATCCAAGAACACAGTAAAAGAAAGAAATTCCCACTGATAGTAGGCTTTATTCCAGAGATTCTGGAACAATTCAGTATACATAAATCAGTAAGTATAATCCACTCTGTAAACAAAAAAGCTCACATGATTTTTTCCTTAGATGCTGAAAAGTCCTTTGACAAAACCCAATACCTATTCCTGATAAAAGTCCTGGAGAGACTAGGAATACAAGAGACATAACATTACATAATATATGCCATCTACAACAAACCTACAGCCAGCATTAACCTTAATGGAGAAAAATTCAAAGCATTTTCACTAAAATCAGGAACAAGACTGACCACACTGTCGATATATATTCAGTACAATACATGAAACCTAAGGTAGAGTAACAGAAAACTAAAGATCAAGAGGATACATGTCTAAATCAGTGTTTTGTTCCTGTGAAGAGACACCATCACTATGACAGCTCTTATAAAGGAAAACAGTTAATTGGGGCTGGCTTACAGTTTAAGAGCTTTAGTTCATTATAGTCATGGTGGGAAGCATGGCTGTACCAGGCCGACATGGTACAGGAGCGGTGGCTGAGAGTTACAGATTCAGATCTGTAGTCAGCAGGAAGAGATGGACTGGGCAAAACCCAGGGCTGTGACCCACTTTAGAATCTTCACACCATTACCAAGCCTCAGACAAAAGGAAAACCAAATGATGTGGGTTTTTATTGAGTATATTGGTACTATTCCCTGCGAGTTGGCCTGTTTTGTTGTTAGTTGTTTGCTTTTTCATTCATCCCCCCAAAAGCTGGAGTTTCTTGTTGACTTCCTATTCTAATAGATGGAGTTTTTTTTCTAGCTGTGTTTTTGATAACTATTTTGTGTTGAATCTTAAATGTTACTTCTCAGTGTGTAAATGTCCTAGGTACAGTTTCCTTTTTCAGGCTTGGACTTTAATTTCCAAAGCCAAGATCATTGGTCAGCTAAGTGTGCTCACAGGTGTACCTTTGCTCTTCATTTGCTGCTTACAAGGATCCAATGCCTGACTCACTTGTTTTTACCTTTGATGTCCTGTGGGCTCAGAAGGGGATTTTGATTATGCCAGTTTAGGTGTACTGTATTCAGCAATGAGTATTTTCATCACGTGAATTCTTTTAGATCAGTTGTTCTCAACCTTCCAAATTCTGCAACCCTTTAATAATTTCCTCATGTTGTGGGGACCTCAAACATAAAACTATTTTGTTGCTATTTTGTAACTCTAATTTTGCTACTGTTATGAATAGTAATGTAAATATCTGATGTGCAAACCTCTCAAAGGGTCATGACCCACAAATTGAGACCCACTGTTTTAGATGATCAGATCTTTCTTCTTCTTCTCTCATATATTATGTCCCAACTGCAGCTTCCCCTCCTTCCAGTCACTCCCCCATCTCATCTTTTCCAGATCCGCTTCTTCTCCATTTCTTTTGAGAAAAGGGGAGGCTTCTCAGGGATATCAACCAAACATGGCATATCAGGTTGCAACAATACTAGGAACCTCCCCTCTTATTAAGGGTGGACAAGGCAACTCAGTTTGAGGAAAAGGGTCCCAAAAGCAGGCAAAAGGTTCAGAGACAGCTCCCGTTTCCATTGTTAGGAGTCGCACAAGTACACCAAGCTACACAGCCATAACAAACATATATGCAGAAGATCTAGCTCAGACCCATGCAACCGCCCTGATTGTCAGTTCAGTCTGAGAGCCCTGATGAACTGTTTCTGTAAGTTTTCTTGTGTCCATGACATCTCTGTCTTCTATAATGCCTCATCCCTCTCTTCTAGACTCTGAGGTCCACCTACTGTTTGGTCTCATCTGCTCCTATCAGTTTCAGAATGAAGCCCCTCTCATGACAACTCTGAGCCTACAAGTAAAGCAGAATATCATTATGCATCATTTCATTGACTTTGTTTTGTTTTTGCCAGTCATATCAGGTTGCAACAATACTAGGAACCTCCCCTCTTATTAAGGGTGGACAAGGCAACTCAGTTTGAGGAAAAGGGTCCCAAAAGCAGGCAAAAGGTTCAGAGACAGCTCCCGTTTCCATTGTTAGGAGTCGCTGTATTCTAAGTCTCTGAGCTATCCAGTCTCTGGTTCCTAGCCCTCCAGGCAGTGTCAGGCTTAGGGTTCTTCTCATGGCATTGGTGGTCTCAAGCTGGACCAGTCATTGATTGGCCACTCCCACAAGTCCTTCTCCACCTTTAGTCCATCACAGTTTACAGGCAGGACAAATCGTTATGTTGAATGTTTTGTCACTGGTTTGGTCTCCCAGTCCTTCGACTAGAGGCCTTGCCTGATTACAGAAGATGGCTTGGCTAGTTCAGGCTCTCTCTCTCCCATTACTAGGAGTCTTTGCTAGAGTCACCCTCAGATTCCTGGGAAATTCTATTACACTAGGTTTCTACCTCTCCCAGTTTCTATTGTCTCTCGGAACTCTGTCCCTCTAGCCTCCACTCCTGTTCCCATGCTCCCTGCCCTCAATCCACCCATCAAGTCTGTTCTAGTTCCCCTTCCATAGAGATTCATTGGTTTCCCCTTATCTGGATCTGTGTATTGTAGCGTGATTATCCTTAACTTTACAGCTAATACCTACTTAAAAGAAAGCGCATACCATGTTTGTCTTTCAAGATCTGATTTGCCTCTCTAAGGATGAGTTCTTCTAGTTCTATCTATTTCCCTGAAAATTTCATGATGTTATGTTTTTAATAGCCTAGTAATATTTCATGGAAAATGTTGGTCCTCTTGAATTTTATTGTTTACTTTTTTCTTATTGACGATTAATATGTTAAAGTATTTATATTTATTTACTTCTTTGGGGTTTTTTTAGTGATTTTCTTTTCCACATTCTTTTTTAAAATACTTTTATTGGTTATTTTATTTATTTACATTTCAAATGTTATCTCCCTTCCTGGTTTGCCTTCCTTGACTTTAAAGTAGTGAAAGATTTTTTTTCCCATAAAAATAATGTACAATATTTGTTTTCATACCTTTTTCCCTATTCTTTGATAGTTTGTGTTCCTGTCTCTTTTGTTACCATCATTACTCAGAGAATCTTAGGGAAAACAGGAAGGCAGTGCACTTTGTTAGTGTGTCATTTTCTGATACAGCAGTATCTATTACAACTTTAAATAGCAACAATGTTAAAATTATGTTTTCCTGTAAAGACAAATATTATTAATTTTTCCAAATTAAAATATCGTTATTCTTGTTGGCCTGTTTATTAGTATGTAGTTTTATATAAATTCTTGATTTTTATTAAATGCTTACTCTGGCAGGAATTTGTAAACTTTCTGATCATTCATATCTGTACAATACAACTATGACTTTTTACATTTTCTGCATTTGTTCCCTCTCTCTGTCTCTGTCTCTGTCTGTCTCTGTCTATCTGTCTCTCTCTCTTTCTCCCCTTGTCCCTCTCTCCCTCCCTCCCTCCCTCCCTCTTTCCCTCATATAATGCTGAGATTAAACCCAGGGCCTTATTCATCTGGTATCTGTCTAGGAAATTGTCCATTTCATCCAGGTTTTCCAGTTTTGTTGAGTATAGGCTTTTGTAGTAGGATCTGATGATTTTTTGAATTTCCTTATGTCTTCCTTTTCAGTTCTGATTTTATTAATTTGGATACTGTCTCTGTGCCCTCTGCTTAGTCTGGCTAAGGGTTTATCTATCTTGTTGATTTTCTCAAAGAACCAGCTCTCGGTTTTGTTGATTCCTTGTATAGTTCTTTTTGTTTCTGCTTGGTTGATTTCAGCCCTGAGTTTGATTATTTTCTGCTGTCTACTCCTGGGTGCATTTGCTTCTTTTTGGTTTTTTCAGGTGTGCTGTCAAGCTGCTATTGTGTGCTCTCTGCAGTTTTTGTTTTGTTTTGTAAGCACTTAGAGCTATGAGTTTTCCTCTTAGCACTGCTTTCATTGTGTCCCACAAGTATTGATATGATGTGTCCTCATTTTCATTAAATTCTAAAAAAATCTTTATTTTCTTTCTTTATTTCTTCCCTGACAAAATTATCATTGAGTAGAGCCTTGTTCAGTTTCACCTGTATGTGGGCTTTCCATTGATTTTATCATTATTGAAGACAAGCCTTAGACCATGGTGATCTGATAGGATGCATGGGATTATTTTAGTCTTCTTGTATCTGTTGAGGCCTATTTTGTGACCAATTATATGGTCAGTTTTCGAGAAGGTACTGTGAGGTCCTGAGAAGGTATATTCTTTTGTTTTTTGATGAAATGTTCTATAAATATCTCCTAAATCCATTTGGTTTATAATTTCTCTTAGTTTTACTGTGTTTCTGTTTAGTTTCTGTTTCAATGGCCTGTCCATTGATGAGAGTGGGGTGTTGAAGTCTCCCACTATTATTGTGTGAGGTACAATGTGTGTTTTGAGCTGGTCATGTTAGACAAACATTTTTATTCCCATAGCCCTCACTATATGTATAATTATCTTTATTTTACAAGTTTTATGTTGTTTACTTGAATATATTCATCTCTTTCATGACTTTCATACTTTAACTAAAAAGTTATTTCTTCTCCATAAAAATAATGTAGATTACTGATTTTTGTTTCATTATATGTCTTTAAGGTTAAATTTTGTGGGTCACTTTTGCAGATTAATTTCACAATCATATTGAAAACCAAAAACATGTCTTTATCTCATTTTCTTCTTAGAATTCTTAATAATAGAAATGAATAAAATAAGCATATTCTACTTTTACCAGATGCATTGAAATACTTTAATTTTTTTGTTAAATATTTTTTGTTTCCCAGATTATTGCTCAGTCGTAACAATTGTGGACCAGACAAATGTGAAGTTAACGTGCATGCTCTTTAGTGGAAACTATGAAGCCCTTCCGATCATTTATAAAGTTGGAGACATTGTTCGCTTCCACAGGCTGAAGGTATAATTCATCCTTTCTGCAAACTACATTATTAGACAAGAAGTCTGCATTGTTCACAACAGAAGTTAGTACTAATTATATGGCTGCCTTGTTAAAATGTGACAGTAAGCATTTAAAGAGATAAGAAATGTAAATAGTATCAGGCTTCTTTAGCAGCTAGACTTCTCTTCAATTAAATAAATTGCATGTCCTCTTTCCCTAGACATGTATTACTAGCCTTAATTCTGATTGATTCTAGTTTGTCCTGTTATTTCCAAATATGGTTGATGTTTTCAAGTTTCCATGTATAATTTGCAAAAGATAGGATACATTCTTGTAACTTATTTTTGATTAATTTAATTTAATTTAATTTAATTTAGTACGGGGTTCTTACTTTGTTGCTCTGACTGGCTTCAGACTCCTGAAACCAGTTGCATAGTTCTAGTCAGCTGAGGAAGGGAAGACTAAAACTCCACCCAGCTAAAAGAACTTGACTCTTTCTAGATAGAAAAAGGTATGCAGTTGTATCCAGAAGTATGCTGGCTTTAGGGGCATTTGGCCCCAGGATACGACTGAGAACTGTTCTGTACAGGCCAAACAAGGTCACTTAAGGATTTTCTGTTAGGAGAATTGCAGTTGAATAGGAAACAGATGTAACAGTAGAGATGCTGGAGGTCTAGTCTAGTCAAGGATAACCAATGTTCTACCTCTTTAACACTGGCCTTGTTATTGGGACAAAATGCCCGACAGGCACAGCTTATAAAAAGGCAGTTCATTTGGGCTCATTCTCATGGTAGAGAGGCTGGCAGCAGTCTGTCTCAGGTGATTGCCAGAATAAGGAGCAGAAGAAAGCAAGTCTAGAACTAGAGGTGGTAGGTACCAAGTACTAGCACTGAGGCCCTGTATTCCATAGTCGGTACAGCCAGTGTTACCACACAAGCCTGTAGTGAGCCTTTCACACAAACCATAACTAGGCCTTTGTACAAGTCTGGTAAGACCCCGCAAAGCTCTACCTTATCTCATGAAGGGCATCCTTCTAGGAAAAGGCTTCTTGGACTCATAGTCTGTCAAGAACTATAAGTCCTACTAAGATTGCAGGATGAGTCCCACTAAGGCAGAGAGCTTGGGGGACACCATGTGCTTTCTCCAGATTCACCCTAAAGAGAGCATAAATTCAGTCTTTTGTCAGTTTTAGGTGCTCAGCTAGCAAGTTGCCAAAAGGAACAGAACTGTGTCCATAGGAGGAGGCAACCTTCAGAACCTTTGAGATGTTGCTCTACAGTTCCTAATCATCAAGAAAAGAGTGCTTACTATGAGTATAGGAGCTTACTACCAAGAGGTAGAAAAAGAAAGTTTTTTTTTTTTTAAAAAAATGGACTTTCCAAACAAATTCCATGGGAACCCAGACATTGAGTCTACTAAACAGTTTTATAGTAGATATTACAAGTTTTTTTAAAAAGTATGTTCAGCAAATTTAAATGTTAAACAAGTAAAAATAAATCAACAGTCAAAACAGAGAAATAGAAACTGAACAAGAAGGGCAGTACCTGAAAGGAACAACAGATGAAAATTCCACTGTACACATTAATAAGGTTTACTTATTGAAGGTAGATCCACTGACACTACCAGGTATAAAGACATAGTAGATAAAAATAAATAGACCATAATGACCTTTGCAGCAATATTGAGTAATACAGTGTGTAGCTTAACGTTCAGGAGAAAAAATAAAAGGGGAAATATATTTAAGTCAGCAAGACAAATCTTAATAAGTTAATGAGTAGAAAAGCATTGAAAAGCACAGGGAAACGCAAATCAGCTGGAAGAAAAATAGCACATTCCATATAGGCAACAATAGCAATGTTCTCTGATAAAAACTGATGAACCTAGAATGTTATATTTAGCTAAACTGTTCTTCAGTAGCATGGGCCCTTTCAACTAGAAATTGGTTAAGAAATTGCAAAACTATTTGACTGTAAGTATATATGAGTGGTTTTTTGAATTTATCTTAATAATTTCACTAAGAGGTAAATGACTTAAACAAAAGCAGTGGTACTGTACAATAACAGTAGTACAAGGGACAGATGGGATGATTAGGTAGAATTACAGCACTGACCTGTTGACAGTTGTGTAGTACAGAGTATATAGAGGAAAGTGGGAAATTTAAAGCAGAGAGAGTCTAGAACCACAGTAGTGGTTCTGTACACACCATGGTGTAAACATCCATTTATACCTAAGAAAGTAAATAAGTGTCAAGAATTCCATAAGGTTGGAAAAAAAAGAACAATAGGAAACAAATGTTTAAAAAACGAGAGTGAGGAACAGAAGTAAAGCAGTGAGGTGGAAGAGGACACTTACCCATAACTATAATGCTTATATAGGGCTTGAGTACTACCGGAAAATATAAGTTAAATAAATATCAAGAATCAAATATGTGCTGCCTACAAATTTCACTTTAAATATGAAAACAAATGCAAATTCATAAAGTATAGGAAATTTTTTTTATCAAATAAACAGAAAATGGAATAATTACTTTGTTTACAGTCATAGACTATTACCAGAGCTTTTAATGCATGAGGAAGTCTTTCATATGAACAAGTGAGTTCATGAACAAAATATTAACACTACATATTTGATAGGTGTATATTTGTAAAGGAACCCACAGACTTATACAGAGAAAGTCCTCACAACATGCTTCAGCATATTCAGTCATACAAATGCCTTAGCCTCTGTTGTGTGCAATACTTCACACATTTGTGTCTTCAGAATTTTGCTATGCCACATTAATAGCTAGCACACTATTCCTTTACCTTATCAAAAATTATGGTTAATAAAACCTTATACCTGTAAAAATTCAAGTTTAATAGGATTTGGATACTATTTTTCTAAAGTATACATTTTTTTAATGTTTTAAATTTTGCATAGTTTTATATCCTGACATGTTTTGTGAGCTAATTAAATGGATAAAAGACAATTACTCTGTTACCTATACCAGAAAAATGTATGATCTCCAGTGTCTTTGTTTCCTGAGTTTTATTTATTTTCTACTTTGTCCCACTTTCGCAGATCCAAGTATATAAAAACGAGCTTCAGGGAATCAACAGCTCTGGTTTCGCATCTTTGACATTTGAAGGAACTTTAGGGACACCTGTCATAGCACGTACCTCAAGCAAAGTTTTTAGCTTCACTCCTCAGGACCAAAAGATGGTAGAAGCTCTGCGGGCTTGGGCATCCAGGCACATGTCAGCCTCTTCAACCTTAGTGCAGCTGTGCGATGCTCAGCCCATGCAGTATTATGACCTGACCTGTCAGCTGCTGGGGAAAGCACAACTGGATGGACCAGCATTTCTTCTGAAGGTATGCTTGAAATACCTGAAGTCGTGCTTTAGTGCCACCTAACTGTCGTTAAGGAGCCTGTAGCATTCCGAGAATATAGACTGCTTTTCATACTGAATGAATTGTTGTTTTTTTAACTGAATGAATTGTTGTTGAGGCACCCTGCCCCTTTTTACATAGCTCTACTCCTGCATTTCCCTGTGCTTTTCCTTCAGAGAAAAACAAAATCATCAAGTACGAATTTTAGAAACAGTCTGACACTCACTTCTTTTAATAATAATGACTTAGAGAAGAATGCCACTTCTGTGTTGGGACTTCTGCTGCTTTGTGGAAGTCAACTCTGTTGTCAACAATTACCTTCCTTTCTTATGGCCATTAAGTTCTGTCCCCATGTTTTTCACTGCCTGGTTCATGCGAATGGGCATAAATAACCTTGAAACATTTGTTGGTATCTCTGTTTTGTTTTTAAATCAACCAGGAAAAAAAAATGTAGTCCCATAAACACTATGTAATCTTCATTTATTCCTACACCATGGAAAACCTAGGGAAGGTAGTTACTTAATCTTTTTCCTTGCTTGACTATATGATAGAGAGTTTTTTAGTGGCACCTCCTTGACTGAGATCCTTGTTTAATTCTCTGTTGTCTGTTTATTTGGAATAATTAGACAAGAACTACAATGTCATAGTCCTTATACAAGATAGGGCCTAGCATTGCGATTACTGCTGACACATTATAAAGGAACAGTGAAAGTAGAAATCATTGAATAAAATACCAAGTTTTTGTAGTTGATAGCTTTATATAAACATAGAGCATAGAAATAAATTTTTATTTTAAAGAAAAGTAAGTCAAGTAAATAAAGCTAAACCAAACAAACATAAAATCATCTACAGTTAGAAGGAATCTTAGATAAATCACTTATGTTCCCTAGCATGTGTTATGTAACTTCCATAACACATGGCTGTTTATTAAAACATTGAATATTACTAAGAACAAAAACACTGGCTCTTTGCAGATAGCACTTGTTGACTGTTAATGACTGTTACTACCCTGTAGCTGATACAGTCAAAAATGCATATTTCTTTCTAAAGAACTAATATATGCCTATAGCCCATTTTAGTAGATAACCCATTATCTGATAGGTCATCCTTGGTTGAAGAGTTTATTATATTGTCGTTTTAGATGTATTCTTTGAGAATTTCATAAATACGTATAATAAAATGTTGTATCTACCTCCCATTTCTCCCTTTAGCTTCTCATTCATCCCCACAAAACATCTCATTCCTACTTTCATGTCCTTTCCTTCCTTTTTTTAATGTTCTTGTTTGTTTGTTTTTGTTTTGTTTTCAATAACTCACTAAGGTCATTTAGTTCTGCCAATATATCCTTGAATGTGAGTCATTCACTGGGCCATAGTAAACCCACCAATGGTCACATTCCCAAAGAAAATGATTCTTCCTCCTCCAGAAGCTGTTGACTGCAGTGTTAGGGGTGAAACCGGGTAAGCTCCTCCCACTCCAGTAAGCTCCTCCCACTCCAGACTTGAACATTAGCAGATCTTAATAAGATCAAGGAATTGATTTTAAAATTCAGAATTGAGAAATAAATATATGAAAATTAATAGGGCTTTCTTGAAGTCAGCTTAATATGTCTGAAACATCTTTGCAAATCATTTAAAATTTTATTTTCATGAATTCCTTTTATTGAAATCACTTTAAGTGTATGAAAAAGTATACTTGAAATAATAGTTTACCTTATATATATAGTCAAAACTTGGAAGGGAAAAAAATGTAGTAATTGACTCTATAAACTATTTTTGTATGCTAGAATGTTCTATGACTACACAGTGAAATCATAGAATTAAACTTGCTAAAATAAACTTTAATAGAAGTCGGCTTAGTAGTATGTCTTCATCTTCATGCTAAATGTGTGCATACAGTAGCAAAATTATTCTGGGAAGGATGCATGGCAATGCTTTGCTATTAACTACTTTGAGGGAATAGAATTATGACTGATTTTTCTCTGATGTTGATTTTCTTATTCATCCAAAATAATTTTTATTCAAATATTAAAAACAGGAAAATAGACACTATTCTAAGTTATACTTATTAGTATGCAAAGTAATGTTTTCCTTTTCAATCCCAGTACAATAGTAATCTTGGTCCCTTTTTTAGTAATCATGATAAATCTATTTCAGGCTTTGTTAGTAGCTATATATTCTACTGTCATTTCTTTTGCTTTGATAAAACACCCTAACCAAAATTAACTTGGGGAAGGGAAGAGCTATTTGATGAATACCTACAGATCACAGTCCAGAGGGACTCAAGCGAGAACTTAAAACATCATATTCCATGCCACATTCTCTCTAGATATAGAACGCATGCACAGCCCAGCAAGTGAGGCAGAAATTATGAAGGATGTTACTTGTTCGCTGGTTTATAGACTAGCTTATACTGTTAGCTTTCTTACTTGGTTCAGGACAACATGCCTAAAGATGATGCTCTCTGTGGACTGGGCTTTTCCGGTCAAATAGTCAAAAGCAAATCCTCACAGACATGTACACAGGCCAGTCTGACCTAGACTTTATTTTTTAATTATCTGAATATATGTGTATGTACATTTATACAGATGTCTGGTAAGGCCAGAAAAGTGTCTTAGATCCCTTAAAGATGTAGTTAACAGTCAGTTGTAAGATGCTTGACACTGGTGAAGAAAACCAAAGTAATGTCTTCTGTTACAGCTATATGCATTATTAATTATGACCATCCTTCCTGCCCTCAAAAATCTTTAAACAAAGCATTATTCCACTGATTCTCTATTACTCTGTTCATACAATGTGGATGCTAAAAAATACTTTTAAGTTTAAATTTCTTTAAGCATATTTTGACTTCTTTATATTCAATTTGAAACAGGTACAATCTAATTGTTTTAATGGGTTTTTTTTCTTAGTTTGTTTCATATCATTGGTTTTTGTAGTAACCAGAAGCCATACATACCCAGAGCTGATGGGTATAGTGGAGGAGATAGAGAGAGAGAAGGGTAGGGGAAGAAGGAGTATGGTATTGGAGTACAGGATAGAAAAAATCCAAAGTCTACAGCTAGTTAATATTTTGCTTGGTATCATACAGTGACTTTTTCATTTTTGCATCTCCACATTTTCCTGCTTATTTCCAGTAGTTCATAATTACTCCTCTTACAATCACAGATTGATACACAACATTTTAAAGGACTAGATACTTAACAGTATCTATTCATTAACATACATCTATTCATTTTAGGCTTGCCTCTGCTTTTAGATAAAGATCATTGAGCTTTCCTTTACTATCCCATGGCAGGTATGGGACGGAACCAGGACTATGTTTCCCTCTTGGAGAATCTCCACTCAAGATCTTACTTTTGAAGGGGACTTGAGTCACATTCTGCGGCTACAGAGTCTGGTGATAGACATTCTAGTCTATGATAACCATGTTCAAGTGGCAAAATCCCTCAAGGTGATGTTAAGTAGACAGATGCATGTTATTTTGTTTTTATATTCTTTTTAGTTTTGTATATTCTGTTTGTAAGTGATATTTGGTATGTAGAAATTAACTTCATATTTATCTCCAAAATTTAACTTATAAAATGAGTGTCTAAATTAAATTATAAAACTTTGAATATGATATATATACACATTTTAAAATTATCTTTATTTGTAGATATAATTGTATGACTCACTCCTCTTCTCCTTCCAACCCCTTTCATGTACTCCCCATCCCTTGCTGTCTTTAAAATTGTGTGACATTCTTCCTTTGTTTGTGTGTTTGTGTGTGTGTGTGTGTGTGTGTATTTGCTAAATATAAATGTTACTTGCATGTATGTTTTCAGAGTTGGCCTTTTGGTATTTGTCTTACTTAGGGGTTTATTGCTGTAAAGAAATTCCATGACCACAGCAACTCTTACAAAGAAAAACTTTTAATTGGGACTGGGTTTAAGGTTCAGAGGTTTAATCCATCCATTATCAATATGGTAGAAAGCATGGGGGCTTCAAAATCAGACATGGTGCTTGGGAAGGAGCCAAGAGTTCTATATTTGGATCAGCAGGCAGAAAGAAGAGAAAGCCATTGGGCCTGGCTTGAGCTTCGGAAACCTTAAAGCCCACCCCCAGTGACACACCTCCTCCAACAAGGTCAATCCTACTACAACAAGGCTATACCTCCTAATAGTGCATGCCCTGTGGGCCTGTATGGGCCATTTTCATTCAAACCACAATATTCCACTCCCTGGCCCCCATAGGCTTATAGCCATAGCATAGCAATCTTAACTTCAAAAGTCCCTGTAGCTTATCACACTCTCAAGCAAAGTCTCTTCTGAGACTCAGGGCAGTCTAAAAATTTAATCATCCCATAAAATCAAAAGAAAAAGGAAATTGCATACTTCCAACATACTATGGCACAGGATATACATTACCATTCCAAAACAGAAGAAAGGGAATATAATAAGAAAATACTATACCAAAGTAAGGCCGAAAACAAACTGCAAACTCTATTCTTTGTCTGATGTCAAAGCACTCTTCAGATCTCCAGCTCCTTTCAGCTTTGTTGACTGCAGCCACTTTACCCTGCTTGGCTGCTTTGACTCCCTGTTGCCCACTCTCCTTATCAGGTATCCTACGGCTCTGGCAGCTTCAGCATCTTGGAGTCTTCAAGACAGTCCAGGCCTCACTTGTAAAGTTTCACACAGTGGCCTCTGTAGGCCTCCATGCAGGGACACTCCTGGTATATGCCTGCCCCTGCAGCTTTCCTAAGCTGTAGAGAGGGCTATGCCATAACCCCGTTCTTCTTCCCTTGACTCTAAAGCTGCCCAGGTCTGCTACTTGCATTACATCTTCATTAATTTTCTGTTTTATGGTTTCCTTCACAGCCTAAACTTGGCTGTTACAGAACTCACTGGGTAGACCAGATTCTGCTTGCTGGTATTGAAGTTGTGCACCACCTTGCCTGGCCATAAGCCTTTCTTTTTTCACAAATTGGACACTTAGCTGGGAGGGGTCTTGCCTGAGGTCACCACTCTCTTTACTCCATTTAGCATCAGGCTTTTCTTTAATCTGCTCACACTTCCTAGTGTCCCCTTTCTCCTCCAACTGTTCATTCTTTGTTTTCTTGTTCAGCTTGCTCGTTTTTAGTGTAGATCTGCTTGAGACTGGCCACTAATGACCACACTACACAATCAGTATTAGGTTGTTTGGTAATGTCCTTTGCCAAACCTTTAGTTCATTGCTCTCCTATTTAGCCTTAGGCATTTTTTTAATTCAAGGTCAGAAAGTAGCCACATTCTTCACCAAAATATCAGAAGAATGATCTCTAGGCCATATATGAATGTTATTCTCCCCTGAGCTGAGCTGGGCCCCCACAGTTCAAATCAGGCTCAGCACCACTATCTTCCATGTTCTTACTAATATTGCCTGTTAAGCCACGCTTAAAGCATTTTACTACTGTTGTAACCCAAAGTCCTAAAGTCTACATTCCTTGAAACAAAATCATAGTCTTCTCTATCACGGCCATCCCTCAGTCCCTGATACCAATGTCTGTCTTATAGGGTTTCTATTGCTATGAAGGAACACCATGACTATGGCAAATCTTATAAAGGAAAACATTTAATTGGGGTTGACTTCAAGTTCAGAGATTTAATTCATTATTATCATGGAGGAAAACATGGTGGTGCACAGGCAGACATATGTTGGAGAAGTTGCTGAGAGTTCTATGTTGGAACCAGCAGCTAGCAGGACACCATGAGCCATTCGACTGACTTGAGCTTCTAAAACCTCAAAGCCACCCACAGTGACACACTTCCTCTAAAAAAAGGCGACATGTACTCCAACAATGCCACACCTCCTAAATGGTGCCACTCACTATAGGCCTATGTGTACTGTATTCACACAGTATTAGATAACCTGTTAATGCCTTCCTCCCTGAGGAAGACTGTTTCTCCTGCTATCCGCATTCCTCAGTTGCTTGTAGTCATCTGAGTTTCAGACCTTGTCATCTTTCTTTCTTCCATGTTAGCATGACTATTGGTATCATCCTGGTTCAGATCTTACTTAGCAAGCCTTGCTGGTATGACTTCTGGGTTTAGCTTCTCTGATATTTCTAGGAGACACAATCTTACAGCAAACTTCCTATGTCTCTGGCACTTTGTCTTCATACCCCTGTTTTTGTTTTAACCATTAGAAAGTCATCACTAAAGCAGTATTTATCTTCAACATAATAATAATGGCAAATTATTTTATTTAAATGGGTAGCATCTGAACAACATGTATTTGGAAATCTTCTAATACTAGTTTTCATTTGTAATGTCCACTTACAAGTAGCTTAGAAGGCTAGACGCAATGGAAACGTGAATTTTCATCATACATTAATTTGTATGATGAAAAATATTTTGTGTTGGTAAAGTTTTCAAGTTATTATAGGAAAAAAATTCACATTCAATAAAAAAAAAATATCTTCAGGCCACATATTTTCTTTAGAATCTCCTTGTATTCTTTTTTACTTGCTTGGTTTTCAAAAAAATAGGTTTTGGGTTATTGGTGTATGCTGGAGGAGAGTCTGGTTACCTGGAAGCAGATTCTCAGCAGCTGCTCTGGGTCCTGATAGTACTTACTCTGCAGCTCCTATTCCATGAACCACTAGGTTCCAAACAGCTAGAAAGAAGTCTCTGTTCCTGCGTGACTGTAAAGTACAACTGAGGTCCCCGGTCATCACAGATCACTGTCTGTCCAGGGACCATTGGGCATTGGCCTCACAGGTCTGTCTCAGTGAAGTCAAGTAGCTCTGTGATAGGCTCATGACTAAGGTCTAGCCCCAATTCCAGCTCTCTAACTTAATTTCTTAAAACTCTCTGAATTGTTTGGATAGAGTATCAACATGAACTGTGTGTGTCTTACTTAACTAGTATACCACCTCTAGCATGGTATAACGTTCGCATGTGTTTCTGTATACTGTATAGGCCGTCCTTACTGTCCATGGAAATTTGGTAGTTCATAGTAAATCTAGACTCATAAATGATAGAGATTATGTTTGTAAAGTCTCCTATGGCAAATAACACTATCGTGACTAACAATGTGCAGAGTGATTTGGATATTACCTCAAGAGAGAAGAGCTGCTAGCTTCATTGCATTTTATACGAGAAAGTGAGGCATTCAGAAGATCAATATACAATGTCTTTTTCCAGGTTTAATAAACATTGAAAGGAAATGATCTTAGCTGTAGGTCATTTCAACCTATTTATAAGAAGAGAAAACACAGAATAAAACTCTGTGTGTGCAGTTCAGTGCTAGAACAAGTGTCATAGAGCAGAAAACACTTGCACTCTCATATTGTGTTACAAAATGTCTTTGCTGACTCAGATCAATAAACAACGTGAAGGGCAGGGCCAGGGTTTGTGACTACATCTTCTTATCCTTTAGACATGTGTATGTCCATGCAGGCACTTGGATTAGGGAAAAATACTTTTGAAGGTAGACTTTGAATTTTTCTCTTAAGATTCTGTCTACACAGATTGACTTTCTTTAGAATAATAACCATACGTCTAAATTTGAAGGTGCTTTCATGGTACTCGGGAAGGGTTCTTTAATGAGGAGAAAGGACGTGCACTTTTACTCAGCTCCATTGTCTACTTTGATCTTCATATCATTTGAATTCTCTTCTCTTTCCCCGTGATACTGTCCTAACTACACATGTTCCTCCGCCTGCCCTGCTTCTCTTCCCTAAATCTCAACTAGCTCATTGCAAAGGCTCTCAGGTGGTGAGGATTAAAGAACATCTGCTGGTTAAGCAGTCAAGAATATTGTGAATGGCTTTTTAGCCATAATGTTGTATCCTGTACATTGTCCACTAGAGGGTGACGTGAGCACACATAAGTAAGAAAATAGATGGCATGGCATTTCTCTCAGGGACATCATAGCACTATAGCATTTGCAGGGCTGTATCAGGATGCAGAGAATTCTCTCTGTGTGATATAACTATGTAATATTCCTTGGTACCAGTTTTATTCACTTTCTCACAAATCAATCGGAAGTCTTCAGTCACATGTCATTGATGCCTTATTCTCAGACTTCAGACAGATGTTCATATCAACATACATGGAATAATTTCATAGCTTGTATAGGAAAAGTATTTTTAACAATGACTTTATTATGAAGCATAATATCAACTTCCATAAATAGTGCACTCTCACCATGCTGCAATTTCTAAAACAGCATAAAACATATAGTCATAATCACATTTTTTACACACTTTTTAAGCCTACTAATTATAGTTAGTTATAAGAGAAAATAAAAACATTGCCCTGTACCTACTTTTTAAACAAAAATTGGAGAATACTCTTTTTATACTGGCATAGTGATTTCTTTCTAGTTATATATTGTTAGTTCTTATCTACTGATTAAACCTTTATAACAGATTATACTACACCTTTATATTTTTATTGTAATTCTTTAGCTTAGAATTTGGAAAAAATATTCCATTACTAACAAAATTAAACAATTTTTTAACATAATAGATCATCAGACACATTTTATAATCTTTACTCAAGCTTTTATAAAAATACAATGCTGCCTCCAGAAGGCATTTCTAATAATACCAATTTGTCATATTGACTCTGTGGTCTGTTCAGAGAAGTAAGCTCTATGCTGGCTTGTACATGTTGTATACTAGTGTAGTGTAGTGAAGGTGACCTGTGATAAGTAGCACACCCTCAGCATTTACATTCTCTCCTGAAGATTTTACCACAGTTATTCCAGATAGAGCTACACATGGGACCTTCTTAAGCCCCTGCTAATCTCAGGCCCTTGCTGTTCAGTTCCCCCAACTTGCTCTAGCATGTAGCTATACTCAGTGTCCTCCTTAGAGTGTACATTGTACTTCCGCCTTGCCCCACATCCTGCTCTTCAGATGATCTTAACTTTTTTCTTCCATATACACTTTTGGAATAAGTTGTCAGATGTCATGAAAGACCCTTAAGTATCTGGCTAAAATCTCCTTAAATTTAAATTTTAATGTAAATGAAATTGTACTTCAGATAGCTTAGCTAAAGTAGGTCATTTCTCTGTATATCAGCTTTCATTCTAGTCCTTTGAAGGTTATCAGCATCTGTACTATAGAAATGATGTACTGATGTATAATCAAGATGTAGTGAACATTCCAAAATGCTTATAAAATAGACATTTTAATATTTATTACTCTAGTATCTCACTTTAGAGTCCTCAGAAAAGTACCTAATTTCTCTTGAGTTTTTACATATTTTCCCCACACCTCTTTATTCCCTTTTCCACCTGTGATTTAGAAGCCGGTAAAGGCATGGGGAAAATAGTCTGGATCCCTCCTCCTGCCTACCCTCTTGAGAACATCCACAAGGACCGAGAAGAAGTGCCTGTGGAGGTGAAGGCGTGGTGCTGGAGTATGGCTGCTTCTTCCCGAGTTCCTCTCTACTGCCTTGGTTCCACCTGCACTGAAGACTAACAAGGAGGGCTGAAGTGGAGCCCTTGCTTGCTTCTCTTCCTAGTTCCCTCTCCTTCCCCCCTCCCTCCCTCCTTCCTTCTCCTGTCTCCCTCTCTACCGAAACACCATTTTGACCCCTCCTTTGATGCTTGTTTTCTAATGTTACCATAATTGTACTGAATTTATAGGGAAAAGGAGAAAGATTGATTCACATACTCAGGAATACTGTTTAATTGCAAATGAATTGAATTTTCTCTTTTTCATTCCTTTTTGCTCATAAGACTACATAAAAATATATGCAGTTTATATTATGTAGCTTGTCCCTTTGGGTAGATGTGAATGTCTTAATTTTATTTATTTTATTTTATTAAAATGAGGTTGCCTGGGCTGGGTTTGAATGCAGGTACAAACTGTCTTTCCCCCATAGCTGATACTAGAGGCTATACAACAGCACTTGGCTCTAAGTGTTATTAGTGTCTTTGAACACCCTAGTATGTTTTCTCGTTTGAAGTCTTCATTGAGGAAAATCTTAAATTCTCTAGTTAAAGATGATTTGACTAAATTTAGAAAAATAGCTGACTCTGACTATAGAGTAGTTAGTTCAACATTTTGGTTCAGTCCCATATTTGAGTTCACATAATGTATTTTACAAGATTGTGATAAACGTACAACTACTGTTCTAAAACTTCACTTTCCATAGAATTTGTGCAATAAGGAAAAGTGTACATATAATACCAGCAGTCAGAGGGCTAAGGAGCATGTCAGTGCCTAGCAAGAAAATTAGCCTGTGAAATAAAAAGTCTACTATATTATTTTGATGAAACTACATGATTACATTTTTCTAATGTGTCATAGTAAGGGCATTTTATGCCACATTTTTAATACTATTTTAGACCAGTTCAAACAAGTTCTTTTCCCAATATTATCAAATAGAATTTCATTTCAGTCTTAAATACCTTCACTATATTTTATTGACAGTCCTCTGAACTGGGTCTGCTTATGTTGTGTGATATGTACATGTTTCAAATCCATGCAGCTGATATTAGTCACAGGGCTGTCCTGACTTCTGTGGTTAGACAGTGTCCTTGGATATTCTTAGTTCTTGCTTCCTATTGATTGTGAAATTTTCAAATATCAGAAAATGTTTAATTAATCCCTTTTATTCTAAAATGAGATTTTTAAATGATCTTTTTGTAGGTTGGAAGCTTTCTTAGAATCTATAGCCTCCATACCAAGCTTCAGTCTGTTAATTCAGAAACCAGCAGTTCACCCTTAAGGCTGGAGTTCCATCTCCATGGAGGGACCAGTTATGGTCGGGGAATCAGGGTTTTACCAGATACAAGCTCTTGTGTGGATCAGCTGAAAAAGCAAGTATTTTATATCCCTTTTTGAAAAACACATCTGAGGTATTTATTAGGTTACTTTGCAAGCCTGTTCCTCAGGCTGTGTAAGACCTTTGGCTTTTTGTTTGTTTGTTTGTTTGTTTTTTCTCATTGTCTTGCTGAAATTCAAACTCAGACTTTCACCTACTAGGCAGATTGTATCACTGAACTATATTCCTATGTCCTATACCTCTATGTTCTTAAATGTTTTCATACAATATATTTTGATCATATTCTTTTCCCTAACTACTCCCATATTCATCATCACATTTCTGCCTATTATGTTCTCTCTCTCTCTCTCTCTCTCTCTCTCTCTCTCTCTCTCTCTCTCTCTCTCTCTCTCTTTCCTCTTTATCTCTAGAAAAAAGGGAAACAAATTGAAACACATAAACTAAACAGAAAGTTAACAACATAAAAAATAACAAAACATACACTGTACAAAACAAAAACAGCAACAAAACAAAGGCTGTTTTGTGTTGGGCTTTGGACAGTATAGGACCTGTCCTAGAGCTGTTGATACACCATGTGGAACTCCATTGGTGAAAACGGATTATCCCTTTTTCATCAGGCATAGTTAAAATTCACTTCTTGGTTACGGGAAGGGCTTTATGTCCACTTCTTTTCAGAGCTGGGATTTTTTTTTCTAGTTTGAGCCTGTGCATGTCTTTGTACTCTCAGAAAACACTTCCCCAGAAGATTCCACCTTAGTGGTGCTGGTATCATTTTGATCACTTTGCAAGCCTGTTCCTCAGGCTGTGTAAATTTCTTAGTTCCGGTAACCAGCATCAATTGTTCCAGTAACTCCTTTCACTCTTGACTCTAAAGTCAGAGCCACATGGCCAAAACTGCTAAGTTCTGCTGTTTGCTGGGGCTGGAAAATGCATCCCCCCTCCCCCACTTTGTTCTATTATATCATCACCAGCTTTCTGTTTTTCAACTCCTTCAATTGCCTAAGCTTGGCTGTCTAGGAACTTGCTCTGTAGATGGAACTTCAACTCGGATCTGTATGTCTCTGTCTCCTGAATCCTGGGATTAAAGGCATGTACCACCATGCCTATACCTAAGCCTTTCTTTATCTGTAACTTATTCTGTCCCAGGCTGGCCTTGAACTCAGAGATCTGCTTGCATCTGTCTCCTGGGATTAAATGCATGTACTACCATGCCTAGACTTAAGCTTTTCATGGCCACTGTGCTTCAAGAAGCCCATGTCTTCCAGCTTTAAGATCTGAATCACACATGTGCCCTCCATTTTTAGACTGTTGTTCATTGCGGATATAGTCAAGTTGACAACTGAGAATGCCCATTACAATCCATTTCTTGTCAGTTCTACACACAATCATATCTCCTGATGTCCAAATGAAAATAATAACCAGGTCATAATAATGCCTATCTCTTATTCAACAGCAAACACATACATGATAAGCTTAGCTGGGTAGGATCTTGCCCCAAGGTCACTACTCCCTTAATTCCATTTGATATCCATGAACTCAGGATTCAGCTCCATTTTTCTTGTGCCCCTTTAATATTTGAGCCATACATTTTGTGTTTTTCCTTTCTAAGCTAGTTATGCTTGATCAAAATGAGCATTCCACAGAACAAAGTCTCTGCTGGGCTTTTTTGAGACGTGCTTTGTCAATGCAATTAATCTGAATCTCTTTACCTTATGCTCAAGTAGACTCTTCAGACTAGGTCAAAAAGCAGCCACATTCTTTACCAACATATCACAAAAATGATTTCTAGGCAACATACTAAAATTATTCTCCTCAGAAACCTTGAGCCAGGCTCACAGAGTTGAAATCACCCTCAGCACCTATGTCTTCCCCATTTCTACTTGGGTGGCCCATTAAGCCCTCACTTACAGCATTCCACTGCTTTCCAAATCTAAAGTCCCCAAACCCACATTCTGAACCCATGTTCAGGCCTATGTTAGTAATATCCTAGTCTCTAGTACCAACGTCTCTTAGTTAAGGTTTTCGTTGTTGTGAAGAGACGCCATGACCATGTAAACTCATACAAAGAAAAACATTTAATTCGAGCTGGCTTACAGTTTCAGAGATTTAGTGGCTGGACATGTGGCAGCATTCAGGCAAAGCTGAGAGTTCTGTGTCTTTATCTGCAGGCATCCAGAAGGAGGCTCCCTTTACACACTGAGCGAAGCTTGAACATTAGGAGAACTCAAAGCCCACCCCTGCAGTGACAACACTTCCTCCAATAAGGGCACACCTATCCCAACAAGGTGACACCTAATAGTGCCACTTCCCAAGGGCTTCTTAGCATATTTAAACCACCATACAAACCTATCTATTTATTCTATATTGTCTTCAAGACCTGAAATTCTGTCCTCTGTAGGCTTACCTATGGGGTTTTTTGTTGTTCTTGTTGTTTGACTTTTGTTTTTCATTTCCATTTTTATTTCATTTTTGGTTTTCTTTATTGATTTCATTTCTTTGTTAAAGTCTACTTTCTTATCTTTAATTGTTTTCATTATTTCATCCAACTGTTTGTATTCATGGTCTTCTTTTAGAAAGTTATTCATAATTCCTTTTAAGATCTTTGACCATATATGTATTTGCTATGTTTGTTCTTATTTTGTGCTTTGGCTTAATTGCTTTCTCAAGGCTTATTGTAATTGGCCTGTGTGCTTCTGAAGGAGACCTTGTTTTGTTCTTCATTTTTGGGTTTTTCCTCTGTGGCATGGGCATCTGCATAGGCTATTTAAGGTATTTCTTGTTGTAGATATCTGATTTTCAATTTTTAGAAAACTTTCTGTTCTTTGATTGCTTTTGCTCAATTTGGGATTCCTGGTAACAAGCTGTTCTGGTCCTAGGAAAGGGTGGTTGTTCTGGGGTCTGTGGTAGAGAACTGTTCTGCTGGTTTGGTGGGAAGTCAGGAAAGAATTGAGATAGCCTAGAAGGGATGGCTGAAAGAAGTGACTGGGAACAATTATAGAGACTTTGCATCTCTACCAAGATGTTGAGTCCCAAGGGTTGATTGTGAACTGGGAAAGGGGATCAGACAAGTAGGCTACAGCTGGACTTAGGTTATGTGTGGAGAAGTCAGAGTGGAACACAGGAAGAAGAATGAAGGTCTTTTACCTGAACCTTAGGCTAGTGTGGCAGTCACTGGTCCCTGCAAGAAAGATTATCTATATAGGTCAGTGGGGTCACAAAGCAATGGAGATGGATGGGGAAGGTTGAAAGGGGCTCAATCCCAGTAGATTAAGCTTACTTTTCCAAGTTTCAGTGACATCACTGTAACTCATAATGTTAACCATTAAGTTCCCAGATATTTTTTTTGGGTAGTATTTCATTGACTAAGTTTTCTATTCCTATCTTTCTAACCTACTGCTTCTGGTTATGAGGGGTTTAGAAGTCTCAGATAATCGGATAAAAGCTATAGACTATTGATTAGACTCTTACCAAATGATATAACTTAATGAACTAGATTTTTAGGGGTATAGCTAAAAGTTTTTCTATTGAATTTGCTACACAATTTGCTTTTATATTCTTTAATTTTAGAGATTTAGAATGTGCGAATTCAGCAGTCACTCAGACCTCAAATAGTATCTGTCAGTCAAAAAATGAGGACAGCTTTGCACTTTCAAGTAAGGACAATTTATGCCATTGATATTTTACTTTCTCATAATTTTAAAAGCATACTTTCCTTTTCAGTGGTTTCTTGCTTAGGTCTCTCTTTTCAGTTCATGTGACTACACAGAGTATATGTGTATGTTCATTAAACATTTATTTTGTCTTATGCACTAGCTTGGTTCACCCTTAAATATATAATAACATTTTCAAATTTAAGTAATAGTGTTTACTTGATTTTTGTTGTGTGTGTGGTGTTTCATATTTACCAAAAAAAAAAAAAATTCCATGAATTTCCTAAGCAACCGTTTTCCTTGTCCATTTCTAAAAGTAACAAAAGGTACTGATACTCCCTTATTGACTAGCCCAAATTGGCTTTTGCCCATACATGGATGTCTGATGCATAAACATGAGTCATCCAAATCTCTCAAAGGTACTCTTCGTATTGATCTTAATGGGATTGCTTTTGGGCACACTATAGATTCATCTGTGCTGGAACATATGCCAAGCCAGTAGCTCATTTCTTAATGTTGAGAGATGTGCTGATGAGTGGACATAGAGTCAGAAGCATTGTCTGTCTTCTTTTCATGGTTATGTGGCTTCAGTATCTATCAAAACATCCAGTGGCTGTAAATATGGTTTTATTGGGGGTTTCCAAGGAAATCAGTTATTGGTGTATTTTGAACCACTTTTAGTAATAACTCCTAGTAGTTGCAAAACCATTTCTTATAAAACAAACAAGCAAAAACAAAAACAAAATCCCAACAACAAAAATGTGAATGACCTTCCTTCCTTTGCTAATAGTCAGAACATGGATTGATTTCTAAACTTTCCTGGTTTGTCACTTTCTGTCAATACAAAAGTTCCTTAATTGATTCACTAAGTTGCTATTCAAAATTCTCTATATTTCTCCTCAAAGAAAGGAGATACTTTGCCTGTTAAATTTTATAACTAAGCCTGTTGTTTTTGTTAGGAATACCCGAGTGTGAGGAGAGTAGACTTGTCAATATTGATTTCTGCTTTCTTTGATTTCTTTGGACAGTGTTCCTTATTTTAAGTTTTACATTAAGTTTCTAATGCCTATGCTAAAGAGCTGTGTAATTGTGTGATTTGCTTTTCTCTTCCTTTATGTTCCGGATCAGGCTCAGTATCACTGTATGAGGAAGAACGATGTCAGCAAGTCTCTGCTACAAGTAAGACTCCTCACAGTTCAGTCACCAGCATGCAGGGGCCTGTCTACATTTCCCAAACAATTCCTTCGTATCCATCAGTGACATTAGATTTCCTGGGAGCAGTTAGTGTTTTTGTGTAACTTTGGTCCCCCTACCTCCTACTGTAGTAGAATAAAGTAAAACCTATGCATGTGCATATCTCTATATTGAATATGTATTTTAAGTTATAGATCAGTATAATTTATTGCATTTGAGTGTGTTATTAGCTTAATGATATAAATTGTACTGTGACATGAATTCAATAAAATGCTATGTATTTAACTTTATACACCTAAGAATACATTTTCATTATGCTCCCAGATTTTAACATTAGCAATAATAGTACACATTTACCACACAAACTCTGTTATTTTAACTAACTTGGAGGAAAAAAAAACTTTAATTCAGAAAAAATATTTGTTAACAGAAGTACAATAAATAATTTGTTAAGTTGTCCATTAAATATATAATGCTGTAAAATGGAAGTTTATCCTCTTGGAGAAAAGAGGTGTAAGTATGGGATGGAAGAATAAAGATATATGTTTTATTGGAAGTGAAGATGGCTTTATACTCAGGCTTTAGATGTCTATATGAAAACTATTACAGGTGTTGTCAGACAGAGGCAGTGACCTCTGGAAGTGCACAGACAAATCTTGACCTGTAAAGATAGTCCTGGTATCTTTAGAGAAAAGGCAGATTCTAAAATCTGGAGAAGGAAATTAGAGCTAAACCGAGAACATCCTGAATTGCCAGAAAGTAAAAAAATTCTCAGTTAATAGAAAATACAAAATCTGGAACAATGTGATTATCCAGTGTTAAGGGTGGGTTAGAATTCACTGAGCAAAACTGCATTATATGAATGCAGGTTTCTAATAAAAATGAATGAACTGTGATTAAATGGAAAACTGTTAAAAGATGAAATAACACCTCCTAAATGAAAAAAGTGATATTTAAAAGTTTACCATTTTGCAAACATGAAGCTAAAGATTGGTTTACTTGTGAACGAACTATTGGATTCTAAATGTTTGATAAAGAATACTGTGGTTGCCCCTTTATAGTTGCTCCCTTGACTAATTGCTAAGTTGGAAATTAGTTCAGAGTAGAGTGATGCTGAACATCCTTTACTCACCAGCGCCAGTTCTCCCCCCTGGAGGGTGAGCTCCTCTCTAACAGACCTCTTCTTAGACTGCATTAAGAAACAGTATAACAAAGGAGCTTCAGTGACAAAAATGCATGTTGGAATCTGAGCGAGAGAAAATACTAGGCATACCCAAATGATGCTTACTCAGCACAGTGAGTTTCTCATTCTCAAGTCCGTGTCATGAAGTGAACGCAGATAGACTGGGGGCCATTTCAAGTTAGAATGTGAGCATATGAAAGACAAATATTTTGCATTGTCAAGATTAGAGCAGAAAGGTCTAATCAGTTGGAAATATTTAAGTATCTGGTAATCATATAATAGTATTAAATCCAAGTTGATTATCTTTGAGACTGTTCTTTTCATAAAATACTGAAGTGTTAGGAAGGACATAAAGACTGGAAGCTGCTCTCAATAATTCAGTTACAAAATTTTAAGGAGAGAGACAGATAAATGTAGATGCAGAGACTAGTATATAGTACAGCTGGTGGATCTTTTTGAAGCATATTCAGGACATCTTTATGCTCTCACAATTTTTATTTAAGTTTTAAGCTTACATGAAGTTCAAATATTTTAAAAGATTTCCTCAAGGGTGAAGTGAGGCATGTATTCATTTTACTTTTAAGTTGATCAGGTCTGCACAACACGGTGTTTCACACAGGCACTTAGCCACTGGAAAGATGTATTCCTTGAAGGAACGCTTTGTTGCATTAGAGCTATGTACAGCAGCATTTTTCTGACTGGGGTTTGTAAGCCTGGGGAAGTGTATCCCCCTGAGTTAGATAGTCTAAGAGCTGAGTGAGAGCTGATGCGTTAAACTGTGTAAGGTCGACTCATTTCAGCTGTCACAACCTTCCAGTCTCCTATTTCCCAGACATTTCCTCCTGCTGATCTTTTCTTCTATTGTTAACTCTGATTGATCCCCTCTCCCACGTCCTCCTTTTCCTCCTCTCCTAGTGCTCCTTTCTGCTTATGAAAAGAATCCATTTTCTTTCACACACTGATGACTGTGATGATTAAATTCTCCTAGTCACCATTTCTCTTCTCACATTCTGACTCTTTAATGAAAGAGAGTTCAATAATTTGAGATACCCAGGACGAGAGCTATGTGGCAGATATTTTTTTCTTCAGCAAATACACCTTGTTAATGTTAGATGAAATCCAGTTGGCATGTAAGCTGTGGCCTAATGAATTGTCTGAGAGGTTGACAGCGAACTGATTGACACTTTATACAGGTGATATTCATTTTCTTGTTAAAATGGTTTATCAAGTTTCCTATGAGTTCATGGAAATTTCTATTACTTCTATATTAAAATACAAGCAGATAGTATTTAATGGTATAAAATGTATAAACACATTGTACATGATTAAATTACCCCTTGTTCCAGGTACTCAGCATCTGCTTAAGTTTGGTGAGTACCTACTGTGTGCCTGGCACAGTGTCCATCTAGAAACAGTAACTGTAGCTGAGATTGATTTTATAGTAAATCTTTGCTTCAGGAGAATTCATGCCAGCTATAGCTAAGACTCGCATACATTAGTTATTCTGATTTAATGTAAAAGTTCTTTACAGTACTTACAGATCACCAGCATTTAGAGAAAACACCATTGTGTGCCATTTTGAAGCAAAAAGCTCCTCAACAGTTTCGAATCCGTGCCAAACTGAGGTCGTATTTGCCCAGAAGACTTTTCCAGTCTGTTAAACTTCTTTGTCCTAAATGTCACTCATTGTAAGTATTTCCCAAAATGAAAGCAAGCAAACAGAAAACGTTCTCATGTCATATTGTTCATTATATGCATGCCCATATGTGTGTATGGTTGCCTGTTTGTGTAGGTGAAGTTTTAAGTCCTAAAATAAGTAAATTATTATTTGATTAATTTGTAGTATTTTCAAAGAATGCTGATGACCAAAGGGAAAGTACTAAATACCTCCAAAGCTCCTGTGTAATAATAGTAAATAAAATAGTCTATTTTCGGGCTTAAAATTCAAGGTTTAGTACGTTTGATACATATAATTGAAAATTTTCTGTCATGCTGAATGATGGTAATATAATAAGTACAATGTCTTTCTTCCAAACACTAGTTATTATGTGAATATATAAATATATAGGATTTTTGTAATCTTATTAATATGAATCCATCACAAAAAAGGTTTAGGTAATGACTTCTACCTCCTGTTACTCTTTTCAATAGAATGTGTTTTCTTCCCTTGAAATATAGAAAATGGTATTTTGAAAGATACAGAGAGTGCTTGAAAATCCACATCAGGACAGTGTCATCAAGCTAAAGCTCTCATGTAGTATCATGTATAAAACACACCCATACATGTACACATGATTTGTGTGTTTGCACGTTATTTGTTAATGTATCTCTAGAATAATGTATGTCTTCCTTAAAAAATCTAAGATTATAGTATTTTAGAGAAATTTTATCCTTAAATCCAAGGAATCTGTTTTCTATCCACATTATCTTGAACTAGAAATTGTGATTATACTATAGAAATAAAGCATCTTATTGAGTGTAAGAGATTATCTGCAGTTCTAAGTAGCTGGTGACAGAATTAGGACAAGCCCTTAGACCTTTTGATTCTAAGCCATGCCATTTGTACTCCATGAACATTTGTGACATATAAATTATTAATTACTAAAGATGAATGAAGTTAATATGTTTTAAAGTAAGTACCCTGTAACAGGGAGATTAACTGGGGTGAAGACAGAGCTACTTGTATAGCTGTCTTCCAATAGATTAGTACTGGCAATAACTGTAACCTGGGATGCTAAACCAAGCATGGACCAAGGAGACCGGACAACAGGTGAAGATCCCTGCTAACATAGCCTGTTGACCTGAGAACCCACATGATAGGAAATTGTCCTCTGATTTCTACACATGCACCATGACATGTGTTCACCAACACAGATTCAATCTATCTCCCCAATTATGACACACATTTCCCTTGCCATACAATGTTGAGCGTCTATTGAATAAAATCCATTAAATCTGAAAATGAATTTTCTCCTTAATTTAGGAGGTCATAGCTGATTTAATCTGCATATGAAATATTTTAAAAAATTTGTTCTACATTCACTTGCTTTATGTATATGTGTGTTTTACCTGCATGTGTGTATGTATACCATGTGTATGCCTGGCACCCACAGAGTTCAGAACTAGAATTATGAATGGTTTCATGGCTTCATATGGGTGCTGGGAAGTGTACCTGGGTTTTATGCAGGAGAAGCAAGTTTTAATACTGAGTAACCCTTAAGACTTTTTTTTACTTGAATAATTCTGATTCTCCATTATAAATAATTTTAGGCAAGAAGTTCCACATGAAAATAATTTGGATAAAATTTTGCAAGATGCTGCAACTGAAGCTCTAGACATCAAGCTGAAAGATACGTCATTGTATGAGTCAAAAGTCTGGACCACTGAAGGCCAGGGAGGACGGCAGGTCGCTGTTCATTTTGTGAAAAATGATAACATCCTCCCACTTTCAAGTGAATGTCTAATTTTGATAGAAGGTAAGATACTTGTTATTAGGTTTCTAGAATATTGTTTGTAAATTGATCATGTTAACTGTGCACACATAGTTATGTGCATACTATGTTATGGACACATAGTAAAATACTGTTAGTTTAAATTCCCCAAAATAGTACATCAGCTAGAGTCAAATATGTGTGACCAAACACATTTACCTGAATTGCACATTTTCAGTTTATGAAAATTTGCATTTATCTACCTTGTTGGATTTCTGTCTATGATCTTGTCAAGATTTGAGCAGATGTGATTGAATAATAATGTAGAATAGCTGGTTGCTTATGTGCAGCTGATGTAGTCTTGGCCTCTGGATGTCACTGTTGTTTCATAAAAATAGAATGAACGTCCTCTACTAATACCTAAGTCAAGGAAAAGAGCCTTGAGAAGCTATGATAATGACAACTTTAGAAGAATGGAATTATACTAGTTTTTATTTTCTGGGTTTTTAATCTAATTTTTATGTAAGAGGTTTTTTTGTTTTGTTTCATTTTATTTTCTTTTTTTGTCTACTGAGTTTAAGTTTTCTAAATTTACAACTCCCTTTGCCATTCTTTGTAGCTCATGTGTTACTTATATCTCACATACTGCTCCAGTTATATTTGTGTTATTGAAGAGTTAATTAATTAATTAATTAATTAATTTAAAGGAGGAAGGCTCTGTGAAGTCTCTAAACTATCCAGCAAGTTCCACAGTGTGATCCCTGTGAGGTCCGGCCCTGAGGATCTGGAGCTCCTCGACCTTGCAGCCCCATTCCTCATACAGGGAAAGGTGCATCACTATGGGTATGTGGTCAGCTCAAGATCCGGGGTTACAACTATGTCTCTGGTTTTTCCACTGCGCTGCTGTGTTTGCAGTAGGTACTTACTTGTACCAGTTGTAGTTGAAAACAGTTCCTGAGCTGTAATGATTGTGTTAGAATTGTACTAATGCAATACAGGTTCAATAAACTCTTCTTTAAATATTGAGTTTTAATCCTTTCCTGTCAAGTGATGTGTAGCACAACACTCATATGCTAGGGAGAGATAGCAAATTCAGAATTTGAGTGGACAACAGGATTATGTGCTGGATGCTGTATTCACTAGGTTAGACGTATTGATGTAGCCCCACTGTGAGTTCAAGAGCACCCATACTAAATTTTTCTTGAGTAGTTCTATTCTAGAACACATATATACACACACATATACATACTCTGTGTATGCATGGTAAATCACAGTGGGTATAAGACTGAGTATTTTCTTTCTCAGTCATAGCCTATGTTTTTGTTTTGTTTTGCTTTTCATAAGAATTAAGTTGATACCTAAAGGGACAGTTCAGAGTTGCGAATCCAGTAAGTGAATTATACAACTGCTGAGCTAGCACCTTGCAGAGTCATTGCCACTGAAAAACTGGCAAAGAATATGAGGTCTGCAGAGTCTGACCTGGAAGGAAGAAGTAAAGTACCTTGTATACTGCTGATGAAACAGTCACCCTGACAACACGCCATTTTGAGAAGTCTTTTCTGCAGCCTAGATAGACCTTGTCATCTCGTCTTTCCTCCCTGTTTCCCTTTACTTCTCCTAAGGTGTAGCATTTACTAGTCGTTATTACTAATCAAACTAAATTTTGATTTTCATTATAAAATTACTTTCTGCTGTTATCATAGCTATCTGATTGTGGTCCTTAGAGTGACCAGTGAGCTTTCCTCTTTGTTTTGTTTCATACTCAACAAATAGAAAGCTTCAGCAATGAAGTAAAATCAATTATTAACTATTTTTGCTCTAAAACACCCGGTGTCTCCAAATTTTTCAACCTTCTGCAAGACTTATATAACACTTAGTTGAAATATCAAAACCCATCATTTTCTGTGTTCCTCTTAATATGAGCCACTAACTTGCCTTATCATTGTTTAATATTAGTGAATAATTTTCATTCCATTGTCTTTCTATTATTACTGTAAATAAAGAAATATGTATAATTTGTTGATTAAATGATATGCCTAAAAACAGTCACCCCTGCATTTTCCAATTTTTAAGTGCAAAGTAGTATTGAATTTACTTCTAAGCATCTTTTTTTATGTCGTATAGACATTCGATCATGCCTAATAAAGTAGAATTACTTGTCCTTAAAATAGATTAATATATAGGGAGAGCAAATTATATAAAACAATGCCAATCTTATATGCTGGATGGTTACTGGCTATCGGGCATCGTATAGTATATGACAGTCATCGTATAGATTCTGAATATGGGCTTACTAAAACCATGATTTTACCTAAAATTTTAAGTGTTCTCACCTTTCATTCAGAATAATTTTTTCTTACTGTTTTGGTAAGGCTGTGGTCATCAGATTATTGCTAACAGAGCCATAAATTCAGCAGAGTTCCTACAACTTCTCTCCTGACTCTTTGTTTTAACAAGAAAACTCATTACCAAATTTATGATTTGATCTAAAGTCCACTTCCTGATTCTCACCATAAAAGTTCTATTCCCAAGCCGATTGTCTTAGTTACTGTTCTGTTACTGTGAAGAGACATCACAACCAAGGAAATCTATGAAAGAAAGCACTGAATTTGGGGCTTGCTTACAGTTTCAGAGGCCGAGTTCATGACCTTTACATGGGGAACATGGCAGGAGGAAGGCAGGCATGGTGCAGGAGCAGTAGCTAAGGACTCCTATCTTACCTGCATACTGGAGTTAGAAAGAGTAAGAATGGGCCTGGTGTGGGCTTGTGACCCCTCACTGCCCACACCCAGTAACACACCTTCTCCAGTAAGGTACAACACCTAAGATTTCCTTCAAAGTCCACCAACATGGATCCAAACTTTCAAACATATGAGGCTAGGGGCCCTTTCTCATTCAAGCCACCACACCCACAGTATCTCTAGCTGCTTTTATGTAGAAAGTTATTCATAATTCTCGTTTGACACAAGCATCCTACAGTATAGACAGTGTTATGTTGTTCTATTTAATAACTGACTTTCACATACTTGAACAGGATATGATAATGAGATGAATTTGATTATATGTTTAAATATTTACTGTTTTTTCACTTATTCATTTCAGATGTAAACAATGTTCAAGCTTGAAACCTATACAAAACCTAAGTTCCCTTCTTAATAATGGACCATGGATTCCTTCCTCTGTGGCAGAAGGTTAGATTAATTGCTATGATATATAATTTCAATTCTCCCTATCATCTCACTCGTTCTTTAATATTTATTGATAATTTTTGGCAGGACTAGACTAACTTTACTAAGTTGAAATCTGTTTATAATAATTGTATTGAAAGTGAGGACTGAATGTTCAAATTGCTTGTGAATACTTCCAAGCATTGTAATCATGTTCATATTTTAATACTTGCTCATTTGTTTTCAATTTAATCATTGATCCCAAACACAGGTCCCGAGCAGATCTTTCCGACTCGTAGCACTGGAAGAGATGTTGAGATGACTGTTACAATCCACCCAAGTCTTTAGCCCAGAGAAAGGAGTCTTTATCTCTTACATACATAACTGACAACCTAGCCCGTGTTTACAACTCCCAGGACCAGGGCAATTTTTAGACAGTCCTTGATATTGAAGCCAAGTCTTATACACAAGTTACATGGACAATGTCCTGTCTACTAGAATTATCAAGTGTGTGCATCCATTAATCTTCTATAAGGAAAACCCTCTAGGTTTAACGGTATCTATTGCGCTTCCATTGAGTTTATATTTTAAAGCCAATTCTCTCCCTCCTTTTATCACTTTACCTCATTCTTACTACTTTGCCTCCTCCATAAGCATTCCACTTGGCCAGATCTGTTCTCAGAATTTATCTTTCAAAGACATTGACAACTGTAGGTATTGTTTGGGCAACTCAGAATATTTTTGTTAAAATGATCACCCAGATTCTTTCTACTAGACTAGAATTTTGTTATATAAAATATTTTATATAAATGTATGTGTACGTGTATGTGTGGAGGAGTGCTTTTTTATCTAGCTTTGTGATATGACTATGTCATACCCTGCAGTCCAGTGAGATTCCATGTTACTTTGAACTGGGTAATCACCTTTTGCATTTCTCAGCATAGTTTTTAAGTTAAACATTTTTGTTACAGTATAACCTCTTGGGGCCTTTTGAAGTCCCAAATGCTGTTCCTCTTTTATTGCTATTGAATACTAAAATTCTGTCTGTTGCCAATTTATTCTTCTGACTTGTCCGCCTGCTTAATTAATTCTCCTACTGGAATGTGGGCTGTGTGAATGGAAGCTAATATAACATTCCGTACATCTATGCAGTTTCTTCCGCTTCTCAATAAAAGGATCGTCACCCTAATGGCAAATTCTCATGTGATTTGGTGTATCTAATTCATTCATTCCTCGTCATTCTAGCAAATTATGGAATCCCAGATTCTAACAGTTTTGTTCTTTCAGCCAAATAACATTTCCAAAAAAAAAAAAAATTCTCTATCCTCATAATACAAATAGGGATGAACTAAGAAAAACACTGCATGCTCCTTTCTAGAACACTGTAATCTTAATTTGACTTTTTATATTATTAGAATGCAATGTGTTACATTTTATTAACACTTTTTATGGTTTCTATCAAGTACTAAGATACAATTGCTTACATCATGAGACTACCCCTATATAATAAACACATTGGTCTGCTTCATGAATTGATACTGGAGCAGACAGTTCCTAAGTACACACTTTCTTGCTCTTGTAAATGCTCTTAGTAAACATCATTTGCAGCTACATGATAGAGTTCATCTTATAAAAACGACTAGTTGCCTGGCGTAATGTGCTCTTTCCCTTCACCAGTGCTGGGCATTGTGCCCCTGCAGTATGTGTTTGTGATGATTTTCACTCTGGATGACGGAACAGGAGTATTGGACGCTTACCTCAAGGATTCTGTGAGTAACAGAACTGCTAAAGATACTTCACTAAAATTTTATATTTAAATTTTTTATATATTCATATTTCTTAGTTTTACCTTAGTGTAAATTATTGAAAACTTTTGAAGACTAAAACTCAGTTTCTCTATATTTTGTTTTTAAAAGGATTTAAAATAACTTAAAGTAGATAAACAAAATATAACCACATAGATCCAATATTATGTCTTTGCCTTTGATTTTTTTTTAATAAGTCAGATTTAAAAAATATATAAACTTGAGGAGTTAAAGTTTGAGGCATCATTCTCCCTTTCACACAGAAGTTCTGCTACTAGGAAGCGGATGGCCACACTGCAGTTCTCTCAGTGTGCTTTGTAAGCCTCCACAGGTTCATCTAAAGCAAATGAAATCACTTGATACGCAGGTACTGTTGTCTCAGCTGCAGAGAAGCTGAGCGAACACTCTCATTTCTGACACTCATAGTTGCGCGTTGACTCGTCCTTGAGGCCACCATTAGCTTTTACCGGCAATCAGAGCCTGTTATTTCCCTGTGCTGTGTGGAGTCATGACAATGGGGAGAGATTAACCTAGGCCCTGATTTGACTTGTCATATATGTTTTCATTCGTAACTGACTGCCCATGTGGCTGATGGCTCTCTTCCTGAGGTATTGCTAATGATGCATGTCCCAGACTCATCAACCTCAGATGACATTGTTAGATGTCCCAGAGTAGCCCATAGTTCTAGTAGACACAGTCAAGTCAGTGGCTCTCAAAGGGCATGAAACACTGAAAGCTAAGAGGATGACTAGCTTAGGTAACAGGTTTTCTTATTTGTGTGTGTGTGGGGGGGGGCCTTTAACTTATATAAATCGTAAAACAATCCAAATTAAGGTTAAGAGATTTCCTTCTGTTTTCCCCAATTCATCCATCCACTTACTAAATGAATATTTACAGGCAGCTGCTGTGTGCCTTGTGTGTTCAACATTGAATAAATGGCAAAGCAAGAAAATTTTCTTCTCTGGAACCTCAACTAGAAGAGGTCAAAAATGAGTGCTTGTTTTCTTAGTGTTAGCCTCTATCATACCTCACAATAGCTTTACTTTCCTGGGTACAAAAGCACCATCAGCACTGCTGCATGATCTTACTGTGTCTGCGTGCATCTCCAAGCTGTCTTACCGGTAACCAGTGAATCAGGTTTTAACTTCGACAAGTATTCCAGTTTATAGATTCCATAACCGTAAGAGACTAATGAGTACATTAGGTCATTTTAACAAATTAGATGTTGAAATTTTGTGCATTGAAACTTTTCTTTTTTATTTATACCTTTATTTTTATTATATAAATATTTTCCCTCTATATGTCAGTTCACCATGTGTATGCATGGTCCCTGTGGAGGTCAGAAGAGGATATTAGATCCCCTGGAGATACACGGGTGGCTCTAACCTGAGTCCTCTGCTAAAGGAGCCAGTGCTCTTAATCCCTAAGGTATCTCTCCAACCCCACACTGAAGTTCTTTTCAAAATATTAATATTTCCTGTGTTTATCATTTTTAGGAAAACTTTTTCAAGATCTCAGCATCAGAAATCCTAACTGATGACAACCTTCAGAAGAGTCTGGAAACAATCATGGATATGATATGTACCCCAGGAATAAAAGTTGGTAGGCAGTAATTAAAAGATCTCTTCCCTTCCTCCTTCTCGCCCCCCTCCCTCCAACCCCCTTTTTTTTCTTGGAAAAATACCTAGCATGTTTCTAATCTGTAGCCTGGAAGTAAGCCAACTGTGAGTTCAACAGAATGATTAGGTTGTGAAAAATAACTGTTACCTATGTTTTGATAAGATAGTAGCTGAGATAATAAAAATAAGGGAGTTTTAAAATAATTTGAAATATACTTAAAATATAGCCGTTTTGGTCACAGTACATTTGACTGATTTTACACATATAGCATACAGACATTGAAGCTGTAATCATACAAAGTAGATGTGATTTCTACAAGAAGTGTGTACTAAAAATAATCTGCGCTTATCTTGTTTGACTTATTGATGAGTTTTCTTTTTCATGTTAATGGACTTCAGAATTTTCAATTCTTACTTTGCAAAATTTATGAGCTTTAGTTATCTCTGCACAAACACAGGCATGCTCCTGCCCAGACAAAGTTGTACCAGTTATAACTGCCACCTTATCCTCTGTGGCCAGGGATTCTGTTTCTGTACACTGTCTAGGTCCAGCAGCCATGCATAAGAGTGTCTCACACTTTACCTTGGCTGACTTTAGAACCGTACCAGATGCTGTTCAGACTTTCCTGAGCCTTCTGTTGATGCTATTATTGAGTCTAAACTATTTTCAGAGTCTGGAGATGGCACTACTGCTACCAGTATTGTGGGGGTCCATAGCTGCTTCCTCCAGGGCAGGTCACATGTTAACACTCAGGCTGACCCACTTCTTTCCAACTCATCAAGGAAAAGTCAGGGGAGGCCACTAAGCAGTCAGCACTGAAACGAAGGAGTGTGTCTGAGGTGGGGGTGTATCTGAGGTGGGAGTGTGGCTGAGGTGGGGTGTGGCTGAGGTGGGAATGTGGCTGAGGTGGGGGGTATGGCTGAGGTAGGGGTGTGACAGCTGTCTTTACTGTTGGGTGTTCTGTATACCCAATCATGTTCATCTGTTTCTGGGGGGAAAATTAAAATTAGTCAGCATTACCAGTCCTGTGCTTAGTTCATGTCTAAAGGATGTTTCCTTTGGTCTGCAGATGCGTACCCATGGCTAGAGTGCCTCATCAAGTCCTACAATGTCACCGTTGGAACAGAGCAGCGAATTTGCTACCAGATTTTTGACACCACAGTTGCTGAAGATGTATAGTGCTACCGTTCAGTGCAGTGTGTATGGGATTTTACAATTTTAGAAAAGGTCAAGACTCTCTGAAATTCTCAGAAGACACTTTGCTGTTGTCAAAAAGTGTTGTATACATTTTCACTATTTCATCATTTGTACAGAAAAATATTTTATTGTTATTTATGCTATCTTGTGAACATGTCAATAATCACTTTTTGCTTATCATGTCCTGGGAGGTACAGAATAGGTAGCACTGATGGGGAGAAACCAGGCTTTCTTGGCTCTTGTTTATAAAACACTGGGAGCTAATTTTCCTTCTGTGCTATTTGATGTTTTTATGTACAGAAGAATCCTCTTAGCAACTTCTGATAGCATTTTCCCTCTGCTTCCACACATGAGTCCAGGTTAACTGAGTGCTAGTTGGACAAAGTGCTTGTCTCAGTGAGCCTGAGTATACTAAAAGGAGGCTTTGCTTTCAGAAGACATGACAGAATGTTTTGTCTGGGTGCGCTTCATGCCCATTTTAGAATACATGTATCTCTTTGAACCAAATAGTATGATTGACTTTCTGCTTCTCTCTGGAATACTAGAAGTTATTTCATTCCATACCAGCTAATAAAGTGATGAAATTTATGATTTTTTTGTGAAATAGTGAATCATCTGTATTTTATCTTTTTTGGTAGTCTTATATAAACATTCCTATATTGTATTATTGAAGTATCAGCACAATTGAATGTTCTGCATTGTGTTCAACAGTATTTATTAATTTACATGCTTTTTTGAAAAACAATTTTGTACATTATAGTTTGATCACATATTCTCCTCCTTAACATAGTCCAGATACTTTACTTTCTACACACACAACTCTACACATGTTCTTTTTCTCTCTTTAGAAAACAAACAGGTAAACAAAACAAGCCATAATAGGAAGAGAAAAAAGAAAAAAAAACCCACACACATACAAAAACAATCTGTGAAAGAAAATCAGAAACTGTAACATACAAGCAAAAGGCCCATATGACAAAGGTGGGGGGGGAGTCCAAAATAAGGCAATATGAAATCAAAATGTCTACAAAATACCATTGAGTTTGGTTTTTGTTGGCCGTTTACTTCTGGGTTAATATTACTAGTGAGACTCCATTGGAGAAAGCTAGTTGTTTCTTTGCTTGTGGTTGCATATTAACGATAGCTTCTTGATTATGGTTGGGAGCCCATATCCAGCTCTGCTGAGCACTGGGATCCTGTCTGGCTTGAATCTATGAAGGCCTTGTATATGCAGGTAGTCTTTGAGCTCGTGTGTGTAGTTCTGTTGTGTCTACAAGACCTTTTTTCCTACTCCCCCTCCATTTCCCTCAGAGAAACTTCCTCCAGCAGCTGATGGGAACAGGACCAGAGACCCACAGTCAGACATTTTTCTGAAAGAGTCTAAATTGGAGGTCTCTGTCAGTATTCCTCCCTTCCGAGAGAAACACATGGAAGATGGGGATGAAACATGGAGTGTCCTCCATCCCCGCTGGCCCTTATATTCTTCCTGCTTCCTCTTCTGTATAATTCCCTGAGCTGTATAATTCCCTGAGCCTTTAGGAGAGAGGTTTGATGAAAACATCTCATTTAGGGAGCCCATGCTTGTGAGAGTGGCCACCAAAAAAAGTCTTCTTTAACTTGAGATCCATGCTACAAGAGAGAGCCCATGGCATATACTTCCTGAATGGTCAGGAACTAGAGACTGGATAGCCTAAATACCTAGGGTAGACCCAAACATAACGGGAAAAAAACATCAATGAAATAATTTGTAATGATATTCTGCTATACTCATAGATCGTACCTTCACTGAATTGGACTCCTAATGGGATGTTTTCTTTTTCTTGCTACTTTTGTTTTTTTAGAAAATTAGATTCTTCTCTAACATAATACTTCCTAACCACCACTTTCCCTGCCTCCACTCCTCCCAGCTCTCCCCTACCTCCTCTCTCTAAGATCTACTCCCCCTCCATTTCCCTCAGAGAGACTTCCTCCAGCAGCTGATGGGAACAGGGCCAGAGACCCACAGTCAGACATTTTTCTGAAAGAGTCTAAATTGGAGGTCTCTGTCAGTATTCCTCCCTTCCGAGAGAAACACATGGAAGATGAGGATGAAAGACGGGAGTCCGAGGAGATGAAGGACATGAGGGAAGCATGGCCCACTGAATCACTGAGCAGGATTCACATAGGCTCACAGAGAAAGAGAGAAAGAAAAGAAATCGTCTGATTGAGGACTAAGTGTTCCAAAACATCCCACACTTTGTATACTAGCCAGTTGGAGATTTTTTTTTTTTTTTGCCTTAGTTTTGATCTACTGCAAAAATAATCTTTGATGCTGACCTAGTGAGGCACTAATCTGTGACGTGATCTTGGTTGGCAACTTGACTACATCAGGAACTAAAACTCAAACGATGAAGGACATACCTAGAAGAATTCTTGCTTAATTTGCAAAAGGAATATTTACTTCTAATCTTTGAGGTAGGAAGACAGGCCTTTATTCCAGGTCTTTTGCACTAGGGAAAGACACTCCTTTAATCCAGATCTTGAATCAAGGCAACGCATCTTTCATCAAGATTTAATTTGGGCCAATCCTGCTGGAAGCCTGCATAAGGACATGGAAGAAGACTTTTGTTCATTGCCTGCTTAACCATGCCTTGCTAATAAGTCCATTCCTTCATTAGCATTAGAGGTCACTTCTTTAGGATACTAACATGTACTGAAGATCAGCTGAGTTATCTGGCTTTGTGGACTGAATAGCTACTGGATTCTCATACTTTCTAGTCATAACTACCCATTGTTGGATTAGCTGCAGCACAGTATGTAAGTCATTCTAATAAATTTGCTTTAGAGAGAGAAAGAGAGACAGAGAGGAGAGAAAGGATTGAGAGATCCATTCTGTAAGTTCTGTTACTCTAGGGAACCCTGACTAATACATATGGGTATATCAGAATGTTAAGGCTCATGTTATTACTATGTACTTTTAGCAGAACAATAGTATTTGAGTTTTCCCTAGGCCCATGTCCTAGTGAGTCTTAGGTTCTTGGCCAATAAAGCATACTGCTGAGCGTACATAGGTTCCATCTCATTGAGTGGGTCTTGAATCTAATCATAGTGGTTTTCTTTTTCCCAATACAGGTTTGGCCAGCACTAGTTTTTGAAGATTCTGTCCTTTTCTCAGAGTGTATTTCTGACTTCTTTATGAAAAAACAGGTGTCTAAAAGTGTGTGGATTTATGCATGGGTCTTCAGTTCTGGTCTTGGCTGTAAATGTTTGTGGTTTTGTGCTGGTTTCTGGGTATCTATTGTTATACTTTTTGAGATGATTCTAGATCTTGATATATAGTCTTCTCTCTGTTGTATAGGTAAGTGTACTGGCTGTGGGTTCTCTGGTAGCGAGTGCTTCTGTAGTTCACTGGCTCACAGAGAGAAATAGAGATAGGCTAAGGAGGTCCTGTCCACAGCAAGATCCCTAGTGAGTTTGTGGCACAGTTGGAGGAGTGGCTCCTGAAAGTAGGTGCAGTCAGGTAAAATATTCTGGAGAGACAGAGATGAAAGTCCTACAGGAGACCCAGGATCTATACAAAGAATTGGAGTCTCCTGTGAATGGAGTTGAGGAGGATGGGCACCTCTAAGCAGGTTGTTGCAGAGATTGGGATGAGAATGGAGAGATTATAATGAATGACAGGAGGAGTCCCAACCCAGTGTATGCCCAATGGGGTCACAGATAGAGTTTGTATATAGGTATAGGGGTATAGGTGGCTGACTTGTAGGACTAAGAATTAGCTAGAAGGGAAAGCTAGCAGAGTCCACAGGAAAGAACACAGCTGGGTCAGCACCAAAGTTCTAGTCGAAATCCAAGAGTATGGTGGTACAGTTGGAGAAGGAGCACATGGAATATACTGCTACAGGGATAGAGTTGATGTGGGCCACAGGAGACAGAAAGGAGAGTTATGTTTAACAAGTTTAAAACCAAGAATACTCAGTTTTGCATAAATGTGAGTGACTGAGTGAGTGAGTGTGTGTGTGTGCGTGTGTGTGTGTGTGTGTGTACATTTAAGTGTCAAGAGCCAACAAGCTACTAACTAGCAGGTAAAAATCTATGACAGAGCACCAATAGACAAGGCCCAGGAATAATTCATTTTAAGAAAGATTCCTGCTATTAGTATGTTTTTCCTGATATTGTTAAACATATGTTTTAGTTCACCCTTTTGAGCAAATCTCTGCAGAAGTACAAGGATGTACTGTCATGTAGTGATGCTATATAGGCAAATAGATGACTTCTTAATTCTTAATTATGATTTTTTAAGAATTCCTAAAATTATATCAGTATTTATTAAGCTCTTTTATAATGGCACTGCTATTAGATCCTTTTCTGATAGTCAAAACTGCAATGAGAACTCTACCAGTCTCCAAGTGATACCAATTAATTGCTTCTGAGAGAGTAAGCAGACATTCTACTACTCAGAGCACATTCTAAAAGGTAAAACCATTAACCAAAGGTCATAAAAAGAGAACTAATGATTTACTATAGGTGTTAGAATAGAATAGAATATAATACATTGACTGGGTTTATCTATACAAAACTTCACTAATAACTTAGTTATTGTTTTTAACTCTCCGTGAACTTGTGGAGCTGTGACAGATGATAAATGTTTAGCCAGATAATTACTCCATTAGGAGTAATTAGGAGTAATTATCTCCATTAGTAGAATGTTTATGCATATAAACATTCTCTGTTGTAAACTTATTCATTTTATGATTTTAATTTATGCATAAACTTTTGATAAACTTTTTACCATGTGATCATGTATTCTGAACATGTAATGTGTATCTGCTAAGAATAAAGAGAAGAGGGCACTCTCACACACTCATTCTTCATGTCCCCACTTTTCTTGGCATTATTCTCCTTATGTCTCTCTTCTTAGCATTCCTTATATGGCTTTTTCTTAGATTATGCTTACCCCCTTTTTCTTAGATCCCTTACCCCACTTTTCTTTCAAGGCCTTTTCCCCTTAGAGAGCCTTCATAGGAAACTTTTTACAACTTAGAAATAAACACTAGAATCACTTTTCAAAGTGTCTGCTTTTCTTCCTGACACTTCAATTAGCAGGCTGAAAGTTAGAGCCCCTGCAGTTCCTGTGGAGATAGAACAAAGGCTACTTTATTTAACCTCCTCCTCTTTTAGGATGAGGTACTAAATGGTTTCTCACCTCAGAGGAATTTAGGCAGGTCAGCTGCTGAAGCAAAGAGTCATAGAATTGTGAGAGGAAAACATTATTATTATACAGCAACCCTAAATTTCTCATAAGACTAAGTCTTACCCTTGATGATACTCTTCCCCTTCCTCTGCTTCAAGTGGAACTGAACAAGAAAGACCTCCCAGGGCTGGCCCCCTGCATTTAGGTATTTGCTAAAAACTAAGAGATAACAGATTTGTGTAGCTTAAAATAAACGCACACATTTTGAAGGGTTCATTAATTTGCAGGTGTTGAATGGTAAAATAACATGAAGTGGAGTGCTAAGGTTTGAATCTTGAATGTCCCCAAGGGACCACATAATGAAGGCATGTTGAATAGTCTATGGTATCATTAGGAAGTTGTGGAAACATTAAGATGTGGGGCTTATAAAAGAAACTT